TTACCATTTTTAATGTATTCCATAATTTTGGAGCATCTCTTTCCTGTAATAACAAAGAATGTCGTGTATTTATTTTTTTAATCAAATATTTTAAATTGGGTGAAATCATGCTCCTGAACGTGAATGAGTTGTTCATTGTTTTATAGGTTTGTTTACCGTTTGTTAACTGCCTTGAATAAATATTTAACAATATATTAATCAGTATCTTTTGGTAGCTATTATTTACGAAGATAAATTAAAACTTTCCTTCCATATCTTTTTCTATTAACTCATGTTTTAGTAACAAAGAACTCATTTTATTCATAAATCTGTAATAAATTGATGTAGGGATGTGACTTGGACATATGTTATGCTCTTGGGCGTGAAAGAGATGTTCCTAGTTCTATATCGGTTTTTTCACTATTTGTTAACTTCTTTAAATTGATATCTAACAGTCTATTCATCAATGAGTTTGGGTAGTTATTATTTCTTAAAATTTAGAATGCTCGGTTTTCAACTTGACTCCAGAAGCACGTACTGATTAGTGCTAAAACTCTCAGTATCAAATTTTTAACAAAAATCAGATAAATAAAATTAAAATTCAAAATTTAATCCAGAGAACAGAAATGATCTAAATATTTGTCCGAGCTAATTTTATTTATATACCACCTACTATTAAATGTGTTCTTTAGATCACTTTACAGTATTGGTAGGGAATTGAACCACTTTTTTCATATTCATAAGTGAGATGTATATTCTCATGATACATATTACAATGTTTGAAGAGATTGTTTAAACTTGAATTCGAAATAATCAGAAAATTAATCATCGATAAGTAAATTATCTTAATATTGTAAGCGACCTGATAAATTAAATCATTCATTAGTATATCTAATCTAGTATAGCAAGAATAGGAAACAAAATGCCTCCCATCACCACACCAAACTGCATAGTTAAAAGATCCATTCACTCCTGAGAAAAGCCGTAAATCAATGAACATATCAAACATCACTGATCAATTATTATTACGATTTGGCATTGATCAATTATCCAATTTGTACAGTACAGGACGTGATCATAGTGTAGGGAGAAACTTTTTTACTTTAAAATGTAATATTTGTTTACTTGATGTAACGTATTTTTTGTCTCATATATTATTGACATTTATATTTCAAATTCAAGTAATAAGTTTGCAACACGCCGGTAAAATACTATGTGCATTATTAGAAAACTGCTCTATTCTAAAATTTACGAAAGGTCGCTCTTTAACTTAACATCGGAAGCATGTAATGTTTAGTGCCAAAACTTTCTGTAGCATATCTGCCCAGTTACGCTTTTGACCTAAAGAGAAATAATTTAAATATCTGTCATAGAAGATATATTTTGGATACTACCTTTTTTTCTCATTCCACCACCTGAGAAAGACCCCATACCGGCGGACAAACGCTTTAAGTTAATCGAATTTACATATCTAAGGGACTTCAAATAAATAGGATAAAATTACCTCCCAACTATCTTTTCTGTATACTACCTATGCATCATTCTGCCATCTACATAAGTAAATTGCATATTGATTACTATTAAAAGTTTCGGAGAGATTGTAGAAACTATAATTCGAAAAAATCGTAAAAAATCATCGATAAGGAAATGATCTTAATCTTGTAAGTGACCTGATCTCTGCACAGTTAAATTGATCGTTGAAATACCAGTAGATATATGTATTCATAATTTGGAAATAATAAGGCCTTGATGATAATGTTTAGAAGGTCGAAAGCTTGGCAGATATCAATTGAACTGGCTTTTTCAATCAAATCATACTGATTATTCTTGAGTGAACAAATTGTCGATACAGATAGCACTTTAAACAATGAATACATCACACGTATTTCCGTTATAAAAAGTAAAATAAAAGAAGGACTTGAAACTTAAAATAATAATGAGCATTTATTTCTAAATGTATTTTTCAACCAATTGGTTTTACAATATATTTGTTTCGCTTCTCGAAAAAAGATACAAAATATTTATTATGAAAAAAAGTTTAAATGTTTGATGGTGGAATATAACTTTACATAAAGGGGTAATTAACAAAATTAACATTCAAATTATTTAGTATTCAAAAGTTTTAATAGAAACGTAAATTTCACTTTGATCCTTAATATCCAGTAAATAGGTTCACAAAATACACGTCTTTTAAAAATAAAATATCAGTTAAAATGAGTCAACTGGAAATAAGGTTTAAACAGACTATTAATAAAACCGAAGAGTTCATTTTCCAAAATTATTGCTGAACTCGTGGAGGGCGGGTAGTGTTTGGGATAAGAACAAAAGCGTATTTTGCGGTTTTAATACATGTGCATGAATCTTAATTAGCGGGGACGAAAGGAAGGTACATACAACATCAAAAGTGAATTGCATATTTTCATGATAACTATTAAAAAATTGAGGATATTATCTAATTAGCCTTGGGACAAATCAGAAATGATTCAACGGCATATTTTCAAGCTTAATATTGTATGTGACCTGATCTAAAAACCAGTCAGATCATCATGAGCAACTGCAAAAATGGGAACGAAAGGCCTCTGGTCGCCACACTATCAACGTGCTTATATATTTTGTTATCATATTTAAAATATCAATTCTTTCTTGACGAAACTAAATCAATGAATATGCCAAGCGGCTCATTGATAAATTTGCACGAATTTAGCCAGCGTTACGTTATGAAGTATATCATTATATTGGGTAATTGCCATAAATAATGATTTAATATCAAAAGAAACAGAAAGGCCCTCTTCATCTGCAATAATTATTCTTTATATTTGCTATGCACTTAAATGTATTGTTGACATTGTATTTGTCCTCACACGAAGATTTGGTCTTAATCCATTTCCATTGATTGTATAAGAGTTATGGATTCCGCAGACTATGAGTTTTAGAGATAAAAAATATCTTTATGTATTTTAAGTAGCCTATACTTGTATGGCAATAAATTTTATGGGAAAGCGATATGGACTTTTAATCTTATGCTTTCAGTCTTTGTCTCAACTATTATTCAGAAATCGTGAGATGCGGTCTGGTGTGATGTAGGATTCAGAAAAACATTTTCTTTATCGTGCCAACGTTTCGATCTTTATTGAGATCATCTTCAGGGCACAAAGTGTTTCTTCTGTGTAATTGTGCCATTCTTGCGTGTCGTGTTGAGAGTGACCTACATCACACAAGACCGCATCTCACGATTTCTGAATAATTATCGACTAACGGTCACAAATCACCACACACTTTGTCTCAATCTTCAAGTCTAGCCAGGTTTGTGCCGAAATGTCGTTTACAGTAGCACATTGGATCGGTGAGGTCCTATGTTTTCACCATTTTTGTATAATTTTGGGCACAAAAAATCGAAATATATGGAAGGCAAAAATTTCGGGAATAAAATGTTATTTGATTTTCCGAAACATTTCTATTCAATCGGATTTCTGAGGCTGGAAAAAAACTGCTCCATGCAAAAAACTTCACAGACTTTTTTACTAATTCAAAACCATCTTACTCTTGCTTAACACGCAAAAAAGTTGACTCCAAAACTTTGGGAAAATCAAACAGTTTTTTAAATAAAATTTTTCGCCTTCCAATTGTCTCTCATTTTGGTGATTTTTGATCAATCTTTTTTTTCCTTTCCCGTTCGTCCTTCTTTCTCTATTTAGAACTCAAACTTAAGTCTATTTTGCCAATCTCCGTTAATGAGGACGATTGTTCTTCCTCTTATAAAGTAGCGGTTTCTTTTTAGGCGTATGTTATCAAAACCTGCTTTTCCTGTTACCTATTCCTAGCTAGGTGACAATGTTAAAAAGATTGAACTGATATACAGGAAACTTTCTTTGAGTCATTCACTTTGGGTCATTTCATCCTGATTTCCTCCAGGTGTAATAAAATAACAAAAATCCTCAAATAAGAGAAATTCCGTCTTTAAACGTTTGTAATACCATGGACACTGTATAAACTCGGACGAGCCATTAATTTTGTGACGATAATATGTTCAAGTGGGGAGACCCTCAGGTTGAGGAAGGACAGGAAAGATATTGTTGTTGTTGTTCGGATATTGGCTGAGCGTGTTCAAACGAATCTTCCTTCCTCTTATTCCTCTCGAAAGATTTATTATTTTTTTGTAAGTAAATTTTAATTTTTATTGTTTTATTCTGGAGACATACATCAGAGTTCATTTTTCGTTCAATTCAAATTGTTATTTTTTTTATCAATAAAGAGTGTACCGTTTTTATTTTGATTATCTTTTATTTTGGTCTCGTCACAATGTTTAAGTGGAAAATAGTTCATCAGCAAGAAAGCAAAAATGTTCCCGATAATTCCTGCAAAACAATATTTATTTTTTGGTTGTAAAAAACTGCATATTAAAAAATTTTAAAGGTTCCTTATATAGAGTTCAAACTTTTAAAAAATTTGACCAACTGGATATATGTTTGGTAGAATTTTACTTTTTTTTATATCTAATCTTATTTTAATTCGACTTTAATTCTACTAACCTTGAACTACATGCACAGAAAATAATGTTTATAACGATAGTTTAAATTATTTAAAAATATTTTCTTATCAGCTCCTACAGTCTATTGGTCAAAAAAGTTATTACAAAAAGTAGATGTCAAATTGGTGATCTTACGTTCATTGCCTCCCCTTGTTGGTGTTAAATCTAAAATGGTCTTACGAAATAGTTATGCCAAATCCGATCCTACTGTTATAGGAAGTTAATCGTTATCAACAAACTGATGACAAAAAGAAAATCCAATTGTAATTTTATAAGCCCACGATTCAGCAAAATGCGCACATTACAGAGGATCGTTAGATAGATTACTACAAACTTCCTTGTAAAAGCCTAACAAAAAATTTGGTATATCACCATTTACTGTCACTGACCGTTCATTCACTACACATTTGATGTGATTTAGATCAATATAATAAAAATAATGTTTATAATAATTATTGTAAAATGGTTGCCTAAACAATTTTTACTGAAAGGAGGTGTGGAAGATGTAAGTAATACGAGTTTATTATTTATATGTTATTTATCAATTACACGAAAACAGTGTATTAAAAAAAAAAAAAAACAGAAATATTGACTGATGAATATGTACATGTACAGATGATAGGTGGTGCAACAGCAACATGCATTAATCTTTGCATTATCGGTTTAACTAATAGAACATGTTTGTTTTTTGTTGTGTATTGAAGGACTAACCGGAACCTCGGGTGCCTCCGCCAGCCCCAAAACCAACTGATGCGCCAAAACCACCTTGCGCTCCAAAACCAGCCCCTCTTCTATAAGTCTGTTCTGAGGTTCCAGATGCCCCACCGACTCCAGCACCAATTCCAAAACCAGCATTAGCTCCGAAACCAGTTTGAGTTCCGAAACCACTGCTTTGTCGTTTTTCACGTACTGTTTGCAATTGTTTTCCTCCAGCTCCACCCTCAGCCTCTCTACCTACTTCAAAATTAGCTTCTCCACCAAATCCGGTCTGCACTTCGCCAAAATCATTCCTTTGTCGTTTTGCACGTTCAGTTCGTAACGGTTTCCCTTCAGCTCCAGCTGCAGTCCCTCTACTTACTTCAAAACTGGCTTCTCCACCAAATCCAGTCTGCGCTCCGTCGAAACCATTGTTTTGTTGTTTTGCTCGTTCTGTTCTTAACAGGTTCCCTTCATTTCCAGCTGCAGCCCCTCCACTTACTTCAAATCTGGCTTCTCCACCAAATCCAATCTGCGCTCCGTCGAAACCATTGCTTTGCTGTTTTGCTCGTTCTGTTCTTAACGGTTTCCGTTCAGCTCCAGCTCCAGCGCCCCCACCTACGCCAAAACCAGCATTTGCTCCGAAACCACTGCTTTGTAGTTTTTGAAGCACTGTTTGTAATTGTTTTCCACCAGCTCCAGCGCCTGCACGTTCTTCAAAACTAGCTTGTCCACCAAATCCAGTTTGCGCTCCGCCGAAACCATTGCTTTGTCGTTTGTCACGTACTGTTTGCAATTGTTTTCCTCCAGCTCGGCCTCCAACGCCTCCATCTATTCCAAAACCAGCATTTGCTCCCAAACCACTGCTTTGTTGTTTTTCACGTACTGTGTGTAATTGTTTTCCTCCAGCTTGGCCTCCAACGCCTCCATCTACTCCAAAACCAGGTTCTCCGCCAAATCTACCAACATCACTGCTTTGTCGTTTCGGTCGTATTGAATACAAATAGGTGCCATCGACCCCTGCTACTCCACTAGTTTCATAGCCTACAGACGCTTTATATCCAGTTTGAGTTCCCAAGCCCTCCGTCTGGCGTTTAGATCTGAACTCCCAATTATTTGTTTCAATTGGTTGATTTGTCAATTCCACTGGTTTATTAACAGGGCGATTGACACTGGATTCACTACTCTTCTTGGAAGACTCCCACAAAGAATCTGTTGGCTGGTAGTGAAGTTTAATTAAATTGTGCAGATGTTCTGTACGACTATCGGCAGGTGCAGAAGTTAATGCCGCTTTCATTGCATTGGACTTTTCTGGAATATAGAGTTTCCAATAGTGCTTGATGACCTCTCAGTATCAAATATTTCACTTTTGTCTTACCCGTTGCAATTGCATCAGACATCATAATGCTGGGACTGCTTCCAGTTTTAACAACGTCCGAGTTTAATATTTTCCGTTCAAATAATTCATTATGCAAAGCATTAGTTGTCGAAAGCGAAACCTAAAACGTGTTATAGGCTTACATTAAAATATTGTAACGCAAGAAAAAAAAGAGGTTTTTTCCATCCATTAGTTTAGCACTTAAAATTTAAAGGAATTGAAACTCACCAGCGCTATGAAGCGTATAATATTGTAGACTGTATTTCTTAGGTTGGCTCCCATTGCCGCAACTGGTTATTCGTAAACGACATCCTTATTTATATGTGTCATGTAAAACGCATTACCATTTTTTTACTCTGAAGAATCTAATTCACATTTTCACAGGAAACAATTACATTTCAATTACCGGTCGAAAAAAAAACCTTACGCAACTACTCAATGCTCATTTAACTGCTGGTTCATTCTGCGCGTGAATTTAATGTTATTTTTAAAGTAAAAAACAATATTGACGGCAAAACAAAATAATATGTTAGAGATAGCAAACAAACGCTTGCAACTGGTGGCGACGGGTTAATAATATAATTATTTCGTCCCGATCGATTTAGCAATAATATTACATGAGGTGCATTGCAGAACTAATTCAAACAAAAGCAATAATTCCTAATGAACATCGATCTTCAAGTTCCAAATAGATTGATGGCCTATAATAATCAAAAAATTCATTAGCATGACTTGATAATACTGTAATTTTTATTTTTCTTCAATAGATTGTTATTAAAAATTGATTGTCTCATCACCCGCTGTATTCCACTGATGGAAACAACCAAAAACTCACTTTCATAAAAAGTTTTATTGTATTTGTTGTTATTTGTTTACATGAATCGATTTCGAGGTGCTGCCCCCGTTCTTCAGCTCTTTTCTCAACGTGTAGGTATATACCCTGAGACAATTTTTCTGCATTTAGTCTTGTCCTCGATTTTTTGCACCAGTTTTCGATAAGCTCAAGGTGTTAGAAGTTGGAGGTTGTTTAAATAGGATTCGAGTTAGAGGACCATCGTGATCGACTCTTTGACCAGAGCAAACATATTTATCAGCCCGCTTCGGATTACAGATTGTTTACAGTGTAGTGAAAAATTGAAGGAGTCATATAAATCATTTTGTTTTTTCTTTTATTATGTTTAATTTTATTCTTGACATTTTTTATTTTTAGCTAATACGGGGGGAAGAGGTTTTTTAAACTTTTGTGTTTACATTTTAGAAACACGTCAGCACAAAGCGGGGGAAAGAGCCCCCATTGGTGTAGCTGCCCCACAAAAAGCAAAAAATATCGCACCCTGACAACAAGATTATAGAGCATTTATAAATAACATTGACACAGTGTTTTTAAAAGACTACTCGAAGTTCGCTCAACAATTAGTACAGGTGGAATTTATAGCAGGCATGGCTGAAATCTATCCATAGGCCTGTGGGGGAGTTATATGCATAGAATTGGATTAAGCACTTCCCCTATCTGCCCAAAATGCTACAGTTCATCAAATCCCAGTCACTTAATATTAGAATGCCCAGAGAATGATAACCAGAGGAAATAATTATTGGATGTGAATGATTTGTATAGGGACCCCAGTATGTTTGGGCCCAATAAGTCTTAAAACGCTGTTTGTCCGGGAGATGGAAGTACACCCTACTAAAATAATGAAGATATTACTTTTAAAAAATCATATGCCAATATTTCCAAAGCAAAAACAAGAGTCAGAGGACAAAATTGCGGCATCTTTCGCGTGGGTGGTTAGAATTATGGTGTATACGTAGGAAAGCAGTATAAATGTTATAAATTATTGGACCATGTTGTATAAATGTTATGTCCCTTTTAGGACGCCAGCTTCTATCGGTCAGACTTCCGAAAACACCCTGCCACATTCCACTCTGAAGCATTTCTAATTTCTAGATTAGGTAATAAGGAGTGGGCAGAAAGCGTTTACGTTTTGCTTAGAAAGAGAAAAACATTCTTAAAGAATTTTTTTTTAGGCGTAACATTGATTTATTCAAGTCTGATGAAAAATAGGGTTCTTTTCAATGTTTAATTTATATACATTATTCAACATAGTTTATTATTAAACATTATTATTATCATTATTAAACATACATTTTATGTTTTGTTTTGTCTGTTGACTCTCAGTAAAGCCACGTTATTGTCTATTATGTTAAATCAGGTTTATTTAATTATTTTTTATTTACAGCTGCAAATATTATATTAAGTAAATATTTCTTATATATGCTGAACTTGACGATTGAGTGATTCATAGCGGAAGTTACCCAGTGACAACACTCCTTCACCTCGTTATTGGTCTCTCTGACTGTGACGGTCTCAAGGCCAAATTGTCGTCCTACTGATACTTTACTGTGGATGTCCAATGATTGATGCACTTTTTATAGCAGGTTTTGATACGATCAAATGGGATCTTTAAGTCGTTATAGATTGTATGATGTAAAACTTAACAAAAGAGAGCGTTTATAATTTAGGCTGAATTGAATGGTGACGAGATGTTTTATCACTGTTTTGTAAATTAAAAGTTTGTTTTCAATGCCTAATTTTGATCGCGAGTGAAGCAATATTTTTAATAAACTTGTCTTTTCAGTCTTTTGTGGGGATTGCGAGTGAAGTGCAGGCAATGTAGTTTCATTTGTACTGCTAAACGCGTTCAGGTGATGGTGTTAGTGATGAGGGTTTATAGAGGTGTCCGAATTACGTGAAATGTTAGCATAAACGCAGTGTTTATTGAAAATAGAAATGGGGCAAGCATGCTTCCATGAATAACACCCGGCCTAATGCGTACATAAGGTGACAATTCAGTTCACCGACGTACTCGGCAATATCGGACCGACAGATATGATATTATCAGTATGAGTGCCAAATCTGATTAAAGGCCTGTTAAGTGAACCTAATTAAGAAAGACATCCAAGCATTGCTGTTTTAGTTCGAGGGAAAAGACAGTATTGACAATTACACGATGCAGTGGTTGAGTTGTCGAGTTAAATGAGCAGAAACCAAATTGATCGAACAAAATCATGTAAAACCCCCCAAAAATTGCTATAAATAAAAAACTTTTGAAGAGCCTAAACAATGCTTGGTAATCAACGAGAAGTAAACGAAATAATAGACACAGTATTTTATATAAATCGGACTAAATGACAAAACCTTTTTCTCTCTGTATGATTTTATATTTCTTTGAGTATTTCGGTTTCTTTGGGAGCTGTGGCCAGGTATCCATACACCACGTTTTCTGTGTCAAAAGAAAAATTTCATTCCAGATTCTTTGCCAGAGAGTAACAGTGGGCAAACCAGGAGCAACTGTGGCTTATAACCCTATGCGCATTAATTTCAGTAAAAGTTTTTCTCTTTAGTAAATCCCTAAGACATCTCAATGTGCAACTTAATTAAGGACTTAACATGGAAACCTAAGTCGAAGTCAGTTTCTGATAACATAATATAATTTGACGTAAAACGAAGGTACCACTGTAAATGAAAAGACCAAATCGATGTAAAATTGTATGCAGAGTTTTCTGTTATGTACATTACGACGAATTAGATTTATGAAGGACATCATCATATTTAACATTTACTTCGTCATGGCAGGCAAAAATTATATTTAGAGACAACATTTAGACAAATCATAAAATCTATTTTTATAAAAATGAATAGATACTGATTAAAAAAAGTTTGTGCATAGTACCGTGTTCGTTAGTAAAGTAGATACTGACGTTAATTTTAACAAATTGAGCCTCGCTATGGAAGACTGGAGTTTCTCTTCTTTATATTTCGAATTAAATAAGGCGTTAACGCCCACACCAATTAAAACAGGATGGGCAATCATTTAACAGACCGTTGGGCACAAAATTTAAAAAACGGGCTTCAATAACAGATAGTCACACAGAGCCTGTACTGCTGCTGGGGACTGATACACTTCATTAAAGTCAAGAGACTCACAATCAGCCGAATATCAAGCGGAAATAGAGAGAATTCAAATCTATTTGATTTATTGTAATTCTTCCAAGGGGATGGACGGCCGAGAAATCCCAGTTCATTAAACAAGGGATTCTCAGTTAAGAGGCTATTTAACTTTTTTAATTACGATAGAGGCAGTGCTGATGACAGTTGAAATGGTTGAAATGGGCGGGGGCGAGATAAGTGAGATCCTTTCTCTCCTCCCGATTGGCTTCATCAAGCTTGATGACAGCGGCTGATAATTGCGTTAGTCCCACTCCAGATATACTCTCAAGTCCTACTCCTTATAGAAATTACGGTGATCGAGATATTGGTAGAAAGCGATTAATCTTATCAAGAAGGAAATGAAAAAATAATCACACACCGGTGTGACATGGTGGGCCGGTTAGTTATATACTCGGTAAGTCATCATTCAATATCTTTTATGTGTATATATAAAAGTGAATGTTCGTATGTGTGTTAGTGATAAAATAAAAACACTTAAGCGATTTCGATGAACTTTCACACTTTGTTTTTATTAGTTACGTGCGGGTTTAGAGAATATAAAATGGGCTTATAAATAAAGGGCGGTAGGGTTTACAAAAAAGAGAGATTTCATGAATTTGTGGCGTCCATTTTCACATCTGTATTAACAGCTGTAAGCTGTTCAGACGGAACTTCGGCTCCCGGTATGACACAAGTTTCCCGCGTTATTCAAATTCCGATTTGGAGGTGCTAAACCTCCATAGTTGCAAAAATTAATGAATCAATGATAGTAGCAAAACTACTGAAACAATATAGTGGCGAAAAAAAAAACTACAGAATTCGTTTCGCTGATGTAAAGGTAGGATGATACGAACTTCAACCGTTTTATAGGCGGCCTTACTATAGGCAGCAATGGTGTAGATAGGAAAACGAACTACCGGCATGTGGCGTGACCGACGACCGTTCCACGCAGCAAAACCATCAGGATTCAGAAAAGTGATCCAAATGAACGTTTATTTAGTGTACAAAGATAGAGTCTACAAAAACCGATTTTGTTTTGCATGTATCTATACATAAACAATTATAAATATTGTCAAATATTATTAAACCTTGTTATACCGAAATCGGTCAGTTTAAATTAAATGTGATAAGTAGTGCTGTTGTTTTACCAATTGGATTTATTAGCATTCTGAATTTTATAAAATTTGAGATTGCGAAGTTCCGTACTGTTCAGTTTTTCAGTGTTTTGTAATTAAGATGATTTTTTTGAATTATGGATTATGTTTAAACTTACATTACGTCTTTTTGACTTGGCGT